TTATCGTTTCTGATAAAACTTTTACAAAGAAATTTAATCAAGTGATTCGAAGTATTGCATGAATGTAACTCAATAAAATGATAAACATTAATGAAGAACTTCACTTCCATCATTTTAATTTTCTTGGTTACCAAATATATAGATTGAAAGAAAAAATAGCTGCGTACACATAAATGAGAAACCATATGATTGTGGTAAAGCTTTTTCAGTGATTATAATCTAATGGGTAGCAACAAAAATATAAGATAAACAATTACTAACAGTGGTAAAAAATTGCTGTATTAAATGTTTGAATCGCTGGAATTAATATATTTGTCTGGAAAGCTATTAAAGGAAGGCAGTGACACAGTTTCTTAGTGATCAGTCAAAGCATGATTGTTGCAGAATAGTTTTAATAAGTTGATAAATGCACATCGGGAATGATTTTAAAAGTACTTCCGTGTAAAGAAAAGTAATGAAACAAACTGACCTCAAGAACGGGTTTTGATAAAGAATATCATTGCCTAAATGGATGCAAATTTCAAGCAAGACGGAATAAATTCAAATAATTCGATAGTTTGCTGGATGGGCATAGTTAACTGATGTGCCACTCATTAGGGTAACCTTCTTACGTGACACCTGTGTAATGACTCTGTGATGAATGCCATGTAGTCGGAAAAATGCCAATCATCCGAGATGTAAAATGTCCAAAACCTACCTGCTTGAAACACATCCATTCAAGGTCTTCCCAGAATTATTTCCAATTTTGAAAATTCAAATCTGGAAGTAGAAAAATAATTTACAAGGTTATATTCAAGTGGACGACAGCACATTCGTCATTAATTGCATTGTATTTGCCATTTACCAGTAATTATTAAATATTTTTCCGTTCACAATTTTCAATAGCTTTTATAAGTAAATATCTTTATGTTTTTACTTGTGACCACTATGTCAATGAAATTTGCATGTTACTGTTATCATTGTCGTTATCACAAGCATTGATATCACTATGAGTAGTGTTTGTCTCACTTGTTTGCCTATCACAATTTTGTTACCGCCACTAATAATTGTTCGCCTTATATTTTTGTTGCAGTCCATTTACATTATTATCACTGGAAAAGCTTTTCCATAATCTTTACGTAACTGCAGAAACTGCTAGCACTTATTTCACTACTATGTAATCACTGATGTTATTGCCGTTCTTTGTGTTGTTAATCATTTTCACGATGGAAGCAAGGCGAAGAACTTTTAGTGACAAAGCTAACTTGTTTCTGATTTCCCGATGGGTTAAGCAAAATTTCGTGGGATTAACATCAGATCGATACTTTTCCTTTGTTGCAAAAACTGCAAATTAGTGCGGTGCTAAGTGTAGTTTAGATAGGAGAGAAAGATCGATTGAACGATTGATCCATAAATGATTAATTGATTTTTTGATTGAATAAATTAATAGATAAATCCCAACCAGTTAATCTGATTAATGAAAATAAATTTTTGAGCAAGTAATTACATCTTGCTTGATATGATGTCACTCATATCATAGCAAATTAACTCCCCACGATTTTTCTGTTTTCAATGATCGATATTACGAAACTTATGCCTTCTCTCGGCAAATTCAAATAACCTTTACCAGCAGACAAAGGTTATAGTGGGGTGTAGATTAATTTGTTTGAATTTACAGCAGTCGTCTAATAATAAAAGGAGAGGTTATTGCTAATTTAGATGTAATTACTGGCTGACCTCTGTGCACACCTGCCCTTTTGCAGTTCGCTAAGCGTAATTTGATTAACGTAAGGAAAAGTAAGACAAGTTGTATTATTGTCTCGTCGGTCACAATTTGAAGCAAGATGTGAAATTTTTAATCGAAAATGACTTAGGTGGAAGAAGCGTCGGCACATTGCTTCATTTGTGCTAACTCAAAATACACATTCAATGCGTAAGTCAAATACATTCCATGTTAGTGCTTTAATCATTATATAAACGTTATATACTTGCCCGAGTCATCGATGACTAACTTCAGTTAGAAAAAACTGTGGAAGGTTTGATTCACAGCTGGTCACTTAATCCCTCACATTTGAGAATTGAGAAGTCTGGGCAGGTATGGGAGGGACTATGCTTCCCGCCAAGAGCAACGTGCAGCGCGCAGAATGAATAGCAAGAAGAGAGTGCGCTAATGCATGAGATGGAAGAAAAAGCCTGCTGACAAGCACGCCCCCTTCTTCCCGCCATCGTATGTATTCTGTCTGGCTGCTGCCTATTTCATCTCATTTACCCATGTCGTACCCTTATACCCACCGACCACTGCACATCTTTACTGTTGGGACACGTTCGTTTCACTACTCAACTTTTGTGACTTTTATATCTCTCTTGCCTCAACTTGATCATCTTCACGTTTATTTCCATTCGTATTAAACTAAAAATTTGGATAGGTCGTTGACAGAATGGTGTCCATAAGAAACGGTCAGAAATTGCAGAAATTACGTATGTGTCTGCAACAATTTTTTGAATATAGCATTATTTAATTTCATTAAAGTTTTCCAGTTATACTTCTAGAGATGATATCTTAGGTCATTTGTTTACGTTAAATTAGGAGTTTCAAGCATTTCATGCAAGTGACAGAGATAGTGCTTGTTGTACTGAAACTTATTGCAATTTTGTGTTGATGTGCACTATAATATAATCCATCGGAGCTCAGCTCCATGATTGCTTCCAGCCGCAGATGCGTACAGCTATTGACCTAATTCTTCTCTCTGCAAGACCGCGCTTAGCAAGAACTGTGTTAAGGGTTACTTTCTTCTAGAGACAATTGACCCGACCCTCACAGTGTGAGAGAAATGTGTGCATGTGGGCTCGCATGTGCTTGCATATGCGTCTGACTTTTGCTTTTGTAACTTCGCTTGCATAAAAATATCCGGAAATCATTGAAGGTTCGTTCCCGAGAAGTAACGTGAACGTCTCGATTAGAACGTTGAACACGCACGCTGTCAGCAATTTCCACTGCATACTCTTTGCATTCTCAACGACAAAGGTATTTCCCTTCTTTTCCGTGTGCATCTTTAAAGGCGGTGTGTCTCTACTTCTTTCTCTCTTTCCCTTGCACAACTTGACGTTGCAGGAAAGTCTTTGTCTGCTTTCTTTCTTACTAACATTTCCATCTAGCTGTCTCGTTATCTCTGTTTCTTTCATCTACAACGTTAACAGAGTGTCACTGCGGCTGGTTCTCTTGCTATTTGTGTGGCAGGGGACAAAGAAATGGGCAGGTACAATGGAGGGCTTGTCTGCATGCTTGCTCATCCTTTTCCTTCTCGCTCTCTCTCGCTCTGTAGTGAGTTGCTTAAGTAGATACTACCGACTGACTGACCCATTGACAGCAAGAACAGTTCAGGAGCTGGGCCACCCGGTCACTTCCAAAATTGACCATAATCTTTCTCGGAATACTATATACCGTGCTGTACTATCAATGTATTTGCATTTTTTTTAGGCAACCTCTTATATATAGATATATTGTCTTATATGTACTTGTGTGACGTGAAACAGGTAATAATCAGTAGTGCATCCGCTAGTACTATTGTGTTCCTCATCCTGGTTTCGCGTTTCGCAGTATTCTCGACCGGATGAGCCTTAAGGCTTCCGGAACAAGGTGTCATTATTGGCCTACGTCAACCGTCTTTGGCTGCTATCGCCATCTGGCCCTCTTTGTGGATATCATAGCAGTTGTTACTGCTGTTGTTGCTAATCGTCTACCGTTTTGTGTTGTTAGCAGACACCCTCCACCAGACAAATTTACTTTTCGCTGTGGGTATTTCGCGGAAAATCACTGCAATGAGCAGTGCTGCTGATGACGGAACTGATGAAGTTAAAGTTTTCCGCAGGTTAGTTCTATTTCTCATTTATTTTTGTACTTTATAAAAGTACTGTTTATGAGTATTTCGTTACATAATTGCTCATCGCTTATTGAATGTAGTCTTGTCTTTACTTTTGTGGTTATTGTACCAAATTTATTATCTCCTTATTATGCGAGTTAGAACTTACTTTGAATATATGTTAGATCTAAGTAAAGTATATATAAATAGGAATCCGAGTGCTTAGTAGGTGCTATAGTTTCTGGTTCTTAATTAAAGGTTGTGCTTGCACAATTTTACTCATTTTTAATGTATTTATAAATGAAATCTTATTTTTTGATTGAAAAAATTGCGAAATTTAGTGAAAGAATAGGGGCTTCAATTTTGTGCTTGCTAATGTTATAATTTTTTTTGTATTTGTTTATGAAAGTGAAGTTTTCGTTGCAAAAATGTATTCTTAATTGCTAGCATTAAGAAGTTTCATAGGACGTAAGAGTAGCGTGTGGTTAGTGCAGTATCCGATGAGTGCTTGCAATGATTTTGATACAGCGAGAGCGCTTTATGGATGTTAAGCTGACTTTAAAACAGACCAGTTAATATCTTGCATCTTTTCCCAGTTTTACGACCTGTAAATTGATCTACATTCGTAGAACTGGAAAGACGAACTTCTTTCAAATAGATTTGTAAAAAATGAGGGAATGAAAGTTACTATGAGAATTAAAGTGTTCAGCCGTATATTTTCTGTTTTTGTAAACGAATGTAATGGGCAAGTGTTTCTTTCAAAGAGAAAAAGGAAGGATGTAGAAAGTAATCCTTAGAGAATTGTTTTTTAGTATTCAAGCAAAAGCCTTCTAGCATTGTTCAATATTTCTCACATTTTTTCTCATGTAGCTTGAAATTAGCATATCTTGTTTTGCTCTATATTTGTCTTTCTTAAACTTGAAAAAAACACTGAAGTCTTAGCTTGATGTCGATTGCACAGAATTATCAATATTCGTCATCTGATAGTAAATGCAGTTATGGAAACTAGATCGCATCTGTGTGTGAAATAATTGCATTGTTTTGCGGAAGGTAATGTGAGTAGTTATGAGTTGGTTAGGCTTACAATGATAGATGCTCATAGGAGCGAGCAGTTCCTGTAAAAAATTGAACAAGAGATATCGCAATCAGTAATATAAATTAATGAAATCAAATTCCATGTAATAAGTATATTGCGGATGTTTTGCAGGAATGATGCAGATGATGTGGAAACCGCACAGTCATCTCATCAGTTAACAGAAGACAAAAAAGATGTGGCCCTAGAGACAGAGCTAGAAACAAGAACGCCATCTTCTTCCATTATCGGTTTGAGTTTTTTCATTTGAAATTTATCATTACTCGTCATATTAATACTACTTACTTTCTGTCAGGCTAGTAGGAGAGTCATTAATCTTTGAAGTAACTAACTCTGTGCAACATCAGCTCAACTCCTTTCCCTGACATTTAACTGCTTTTGAGCTAGGGATTTACTTTATTCGTTCATCGTTTCAGTTGTCTCGAAAATATCATTTTCATTCCATTTAGTTACTAGTGTTATGCAGAACAGCGAAATGAGAGGAATTTACAATATTTGTTAGGGCGTCGTTGCTAAAGGTATATGCTAAATGTGAAACACATTTTTTCGTGAAAGTTTTTATATCAATCTCTTCAACGAACCCTCTGAATTTATTACTTGCGGTGTGAAAAATTGTTTCATTAACTGCTCCTGTCATTGGATTTATGAGGATTGATTGATTATTGAGTGATTTGTGTCGTGTGTTATATGTGAGATTCTGCTTCTGTTAGATGCATTTGTGTGTGTTTTGGACTTACCCGTGCATGTAAAACAAGTGTAAAGGCGAGTGTTAATTCTTGAAAGCGATTTCTTATTACAAGAACAAAAATCTAAAACATATTGGATGAGTGGCTGTTTGATGTAGTGGAAGTGGAGCACTGTGAATGCGAGCTGCTTGTTTTTCTGTGTAGTTAACTGGTTAATGCTGAAAGCAAAGCTTATTGTGCATATAACAAAACAGCTTTAATTTTGTTATACCATTTAGGAAAAGAATAATTCATTGGGGTGCAATTTGCTGTTAGAACCATTTTATTTTATTTTACCTTACAATACTCATCAAATGTTGTATGAACGATTGGTAGTAAGCAGCAGCACAGCTGTTAACACTCACTCTTTTCTAGAATAATCCATCCATTTTTTTTCTGCATATATTAGCAAGAAAGGATCCCGTTTAGAATGCACTGTGATGTTCTCGTTGAACAGTTTATGAAGCGAGAGAGGGGAAGCTTAATTGCATATGCGAGAGTGCTGTTTGGGCAGAGATAGTGCGAGAGCATGTTAGGGTAGTTGTCATATTTGGTTATTTCATGCTCACTAGAGCTGTTAATATCAGTACTGAATTTGAAGTCTTGAATCAGACAGTGTGAGTAGTTAGAGGATAACCATTTGGCAAATTAAGTAGCCAGAGACATTAGTTTCATTAAAAGACTAATGCCTCTGGCTAAAAGGAGTATCCGGTTGACAGTACTGGATAGTTGTTGAAATCGGGAAGAGAAGCTAGTTTAGCTTTTGTGGTGATGTATCATTTTATCTATCTCAAATCGGCCTTCAATTTGGTAAATGATTTTCAGAATCATTACTACAGACTTACTGTCCATGCTTTTCGGTTCATCTGAATTACTTGGATAATGGATCGAAACTAGATTTAGTTTTTTTGATATAAGAGCTTTTGTAATGTAATGGTACTATTATTTATTATGTATATAAAGGTTATTATGTATACAGGTAGACAGTTGGGTTTTTATGTATTAGGTATAGATAGATAGATAGCAAGTGTTTGCTTAGCTAGTGTCCTCTCATTTCTTTTTATGATATATGCTACTTTCTAAAATGGGGTCATTTATTTTCTTTCTCTTAAGGCGGCTTTTCATTGAGGGACGTTAGATTATATGTAGTTACTGACCACTATGTGAATGTTAGTATTGAATTGGTGTCATCCAATATGTGACTGCCTGCATCGTCACTATCACTTGTCACGGGTTTTAGACATTTTTCTGAAGAGCAGAAATGTTATCTGCAGAAGTAGTTCATTTCTGTTTCTTATCATTCAGTGTTGTTATTTTTCAACTCTTAAAGCCGTAAAATTATTGTGCTATAAGGGTCATACACATATTTATTTATATAATTATTTATTCATTTTTGTTTATTTATATCTAACATATGCACATTTCATGAAATAATTTTTTTTAGGTTCAAAACCTGGAGCATTCGTAAAACCATCACCTACTTTCCCTACGTTTCCAACAAGCACGTTGTCGCCTACATATGGACCACTACCACTATTTTATCCCTTCTTTCTACCGGTAGTTCTTATCAACTCTATTTGCATTATATCGGTTGTGAATGTCATGTGATAAGATGAACAATAATGGGTGAAGTAGGATAATATAATATTATGTATTATGAAATTTTGATTTTGAGATTACTTATTAAAGATGACTAGTAAATACTAAAATAAATAAATAAATTAATGAATCGAGTTAATAATTCATATTACTAACTCGCTTATCATGTTTGGAAATAAGATGGTTTCTTTAAGAATATGTTATTCTATTTTTTTCGTGAAGAAATCAAATTAGCGAGTTTGTAGTAGACGAAATGCACCAGTTCGTGGAGTTTTCAATTAGCTGCTAGGAACATACTATTGTTGCAATATATTTCATATCCACAACGCTTCTTGAGTGGTGAGCATGATGGTTCTCTTGAAAAGGGGCAAAATAGTGAGGAAGAATCCTAGTATATCTTACTATTTAAGGTTGTTGGCTAGTTATATATTTTATGAGAATAAATAATGGATATTGTTCTTGTTATTGGTAACTATGAACTTACTCCTCTTGCTGGGGTGAGTAGTGTGGAAAGACTCACTCGTTCTCCTCTGTTCTCTTCATGTCATTGACGAATGACTCTCCTTCAATGTATCATCTACTTTTCCGCATTGACTGCATATAGAATGACCAATCACTTGATTGGTTGTCTATAGAAAACGAGGTCAAGTCGCTGACTCCTTATCGCGTTATGTGTACTTAAGGCTTTCGATCTCTTCGTCTCCCCTACTACCCTGGCGTCATTCTCACCGAGCTTTGATTCATTTTCCTGTTGGGTGGACTTGGCTCATATTAAGCAATAGCAGCAGTTAAGCTGACTTTTGGGGCTATTTAACACTCAGCTATATAAGCAAGGTTAGTAAACCTGTTGATTACTTACTGATATCTTTCAAGGTTTTACTTTGGACACTTAATTATTGATGGACAGGATTGTAATAGATGCATTTGTTGAAAGGAAACATTTTTGCTTAAGGCAAGGAACCTTGAATATTATTAGACTGATCTATGCACTAAGAGGCTTCAATTGCATGATAAATTTCTTTAATTGCTTAGTTTTTGAGTACTGTTTATATATAAAGAAAGAAATATGGAGGTTAGTTTTCATTTTCGCTTTATTGATTCTGACGCTGGATCGCATTCCGGCCGCGTACAGATTTGTTGTGCTCATCATTTTCGCTTCGTCCTCGTGAAATCCATAAGGACTATCGAAGGAGATGCTTTCGAGCGTCTTCTTGAGAACTATCGATAGAATGTATGCCCTCGGCGTGGTCAAATATAATCTCCTTTGCATAGCATTTGTGGAAGTTCGTTACAATCCCATCGCAAGTCATGACATAAGAATTATTTTAGTTCTGCATTTCATCTCTGACCTAGGCTTATTAGCAAGGAGATTATATATATATATAGAGAGAGAGAATGTGCAGCAAGTCGGGGTTTTTCAGACCTAAACTGTTACTCGGCACAGTTGAGTTGTCCAAGCAAATATATATAGTAATTCATTAGTGGCCTTTTCAAATTACGCACCAGTAGTACCTTGCACGCAACATCATTGATTACTTAACACATCCCATTTTCTTTTATGAAGTTCCTTTATTGCACTTTTTTCCATTGATCAAAGAAAAATATAAATTGGATTGAGTTCCACTAATGCAGATATCAAGTTACATTTTTGTTCTGATTTGTTGACCTTTTCAGTGTTAGACTTCATGTAAGGTTTTGATTGCTCTGATGGTAGTTCATTATCAGTTCTCGATTAGTGCTCGTTGCTGATTTCACATTTACAGCATGTCTCTCAGACTTAAAATGTATAACTTTAGTAACAAGTTTTCTTGGAGTCTGTTATCTTTGGGGACAGGAAATAGTTGCATATTTCAAACTTTAATTTTCCTGTTAATGTCGGTTGAGTTAAGAGTCAGAAATTATGTTACAGTTTTTTTTTTCGGTACTTGTTGTGAAGTTGCGTGCGCAACATTTTCTGTTGCTAATTGTAGTTCGGTTGGATGGAAAGCAGTATTACACTTGTTTTTAAGGGTAGCGGAAATTGATGAAGTTGTGCAAAAGTGACACTTCTCAATGCTGCTGTTTCCTTTGTCATTGGCAGTTATAGGTTTTTTAAACCTTCTTTATACATGTCTAGTGCGATTGAAAAAGAAAAGAAGAAAGATTCCGGAGGTGAATTATCAGTAATTGAAAAAAACAAACATTGCTTATAGTATATATAATAGCAACATGTCTGTTCGCAAATTTCAAATTTGAGTTGTCATTTTGAGAAATTAAAATTCTTCTAAGATTAATTAGTCACCATTTCAAATAAACATTTGTAGAGCTTTGCAACCACTTCGAAAATTAGATGAATTGTAAGTTTGGTGATGGCTTCACTATTATAATCCTATTCACCAAATGATATTTCATGCAGAAGGTAAATATTTGGCACTGCAGTTAGCTAAAGCAAAATGGTAGTTATATGATTATTTGCAAAAAACTGACGCAGATGCGTGGTTGGTGCAAAACCATCATATTTTTCTTGCTTGAAATTTGTGCAACAATAAACAAGCTTTGATAGAGTGATGAATGGTATGGTAGAATGTTGTTTTCTTCATGAAGTGATTCAGCAGACATCGGAAATGTCATGTGACTTAGCGACTTTACATTCTCACCTATTGTCTACAAAATTTACTCTTATGAAATTTGTTTTTATGCTTTCAGAATCAGTCACCTTATGGCTTACCATTTGGGCGAATGCCGAGCGCACCGATGGATGCTCGCTCTATGTCACCTACTTATGCAGCATTTGTCATGCAGCAAGCTGCTCAGTCTATGTCGCCAGGCTTCGATATGTACAGGAATTTCCCTTTTGGGCCTGCTTCTCCAAGCTCCATATTTCATGTTTGTGTCTTCTCTTCTAGTCAATATTATTTGGCCAATAAAGTTTCGAAAGAACTATGTAATGTAAATATTTCCTTAATGGAAGTAGTGAAGTGGAGTAGTATTTTCGTTGTAGTTTTGTTAATTTAAAAATTATACAGAATGCGGCTGCAGCAGCTGCCACATCACCGCAGCATCCGCTGAATTCGATAAACCAAATGCGATTACCTCAGATGGGATCACCTATCGCATCAATGGCTAGTAATTTAGCTCAGCAGCCGAGCAGTAATTCGAGGGGCAGTGCAAATCCCACTAAAACTTCAAAGAATGAAAGTAAACAGCCGAAAGTAAAAGTAAATCTCATTCATAACTTTTCCATTTGTTTACTGCTCGTGTTTCTGGTGTCAAGTTGCAGGAGTGATGCAGCTAACTGCTGCTCATAAAAAGTAGTAAGTTGTTATGGCATGACCTCAAAAATGAAGATAGGCAGTCGGAAGTAAAAGCCTTTATCATCAAAATCACGGCAGCAGTAACTCTTTACTCTTAATTTTTTTCTTTTACTTTAGTTGAAGATTTTGTTTTTATATACAGGTTTTTTTTTTCTGCAGGAACAGCACATCAAAAAGCCTTTAAATGCATTTATGTGGTTTATGAAAGAGAATAGACCAAAACTAATGGAGGAATTAGATTATAAAGAAAGACAAAGTGCTGAACTCAACAAAGTTTGTTACTAATCTATCGCAATTTGTAACGAAGTTTCGTTTAAAAAACTGAGACTGTGCAGCTCAGTGTTAGCAAATTAAGTTCATATCATAGTAAATTTATATTACTCAGACTCATCGCAAGAAAATTTTTCAGGAACTTGGCAGGAGGTGGCATGACTTACCAAAAGAAGAACAGCAAAGGTATTACGAGCTTGCAAAAACTGATCGTGAGCAGCACATGCAGAAGTACCCTGGCTGGTCAGCTCGGGAAAATTATGCAATTAATAAAAAGAAAAAGCGGAAACGAGATAAATCTGTCGGTGAGTCAAAAATTCCAAATTATCTAATGTTTGCTTTTTGCAATTTTATAGTTAAGAAATCTAGATAATGGTGAACAAAAGAAGTGTCGAGCTCGATTTGGTGTCGTGAATCAAGACCAGTGGTGCAAGCATTGTAAACGAAAAAAGAGATGTCTTTGGTATCGAGAGGTTAGCTGAGCTTGAACGGTTTTTTTTCACTGTAGTTCTTCTTTTGACGCATATTTGGAAATGGTGATGATGTATGATTTCTTTTTAAGAATAGTGTTATTACTATTTTCTTGTTTTAAAACTACATCTTTTGTATTTCAAAAAAAAAAAAATTGTAATAAATATATCGATGTCTTTTGAAAAAGACATCGATATATTTACTACAAATATTTCAGCGGATGCTGCGGTGATGTAGCAGCTGCTGCAGCCGCATTCTGTATGAGAGATTTCTTTTTTGATTATTACGCGTAGAATCAGTTATTTGATACGGCATTTCAATTTCGTAGCAAAGTTATAATGAATTTCAATCCCATCATTATCATGCTTTTTGCATAACATGTGAGAATAATGCTGAGCGTGAAACTGCCGTAGTGCAGTGCTTACTTGGTATACAGGGAAAATTTAGGCATCTTCACCAGTTGCAGTAGTATCTTCGACAACACCGGGAACCCCAGGCACACCATCTTCATTATCTGGAGCAATTGCCGGTGGTGGTACAATTAGTGGTCGTGATACTGATTCTGAGAGCGATATGGATGCTGTTGCCGCTGCTGCTGCTGCTGCTGCCGCTGTCGCTGCCGAGAGATCTCGGTCGATGATAAGCCAGGTACTACCGAATAAGCAGCAAACTACTATTCTTATTTGCTTCCACCAGTATATTTATAGTTTGTTAAGCTCCTGGTTTAAAATATGACATTTCTCAGGGCACTGCATCATGCTTATAGATTCAGTCACGGCTTGTTTGTGACGATGATTTATATTTTAATTATAGTGCTATACTTTCGCATCGCAAGGGCAAAGGGAAACGAAATAGGTGCAAATTGTCATTATGTATTTGGTCAATATTATTTCATTTTTTACTGATCGACGATAACGAAACTTATTGAAATCGATGATACACTGAGCTGACAGAATCTTTTTACTAGTTTCAAATCTTCATTGAATTATTGTATTTGTTCTGTAGTCGTCGTTTCGTCGTTGGTACATGACTTTAAGTTTGCCTTAAGCTCTTCTCTTATGTAACCATCAGTGCGCCATTTGCTCTTGTTTTTGTCAATATATTTATATAGTTAGCTTCGCCTTGTGTCTTGGAGCTTGGTGTGCTCAGTCGGTGATTCTTAATGTTTTCGAATAGAACAGTTCTCTGCGGAAAGATCATCTCTGTCTTTATTATGGTCAAAAAATGTTTGACATTCTTTTGTTTCTTTAATGTGTGTTTGTTAAAGTCTAAGACCATATTGTGAAATATTCAGGAAGTAGGTAATTATCTTGCAAAATGTAGTAGTTGTGGTGAAAACGAGTTATGGTGTGACCTCACGAAAATAGGAGGCTTTTCTAGTTTTGTTCATTCACTGCAAAACAGGGTTTTCAGTGCATACAGTTGCATGCATCTTTCATTGTTGTTATCGTTAATTTTTATCTTCGCTATTATTATTTTCATCACTTTTATTTTTCTTGTTATAATCTTGGCTACTATGTTTCTACAATGATGACATTTTACTTGCACTCATCACTGTGTTGTTTTTATGTGTATATTTCCAAGTATATTTCTCTACAGTTCATTTAGTTTTCATATGTTTGCTAGTCAAAACTTTCGGAAAACCTTCTTAAAGAAGTTCTTTTTTGAAAGCTTGTCATGGCATTTATTTGATTTTTGTGACAAGTTTTGGCTAGTAATTTAGTTAAGCTTTTAAACGAATAGCTAAGCGGGAGCTTTCATGTACGTTGTATTTCTGATTTCTGGTATTTTTTCAAGTAAGTGATAATTTTAATTATTGCCATCCTGTAAAAAAAATCGTAAAATCGAGCTCTCCATCTACTGAGACTTTTATCGTTTTTTCAAAATGACGTTTTATCGTTTTTTTTCAAAATGATTATATTGAGAATGCAACGTTTGCAATTTGAGTGAAAGCTGATAAACTACATTTGATGGTGTGTTAGATGTCAAGATTAGACCGAAACCAGTCATAAACAGATGTTGAATGTATAAGTCCACAACAATCTTTCTCTGTATTAGTTTTCTAAATATAATTTCCTCCTACTGTTGATTTGATCAAGTACTCAAATTGTAATCACTGTATTTTTTCTGAAATTGAGGAGGCAGTATTTCATGAAAATGTCAGGAAAGTGATTGATAATGATGAGTAGTCGGGAATGTATTCGTGATAAGATCAAAGAAGATAGGGCAAGCAAATTTTTGGTCTTAGGTGCAGATTTTCATGTCTACATTATGGTGGATTTGTGACGACTACATTAGATGTCATACCTGAGAATTAGGGGAGGAATGACACACTCACATGGGTGGTGATGTACCCTAATCGCATTTGATGAGTAGATGTTATAACAAGACAGCATTCCATGCGATGACATACCAACCTCTGAGAGATAATCTTCAGTTTTGAGTACTAAAATGTCACTGGTGGGCAAATATCTTCTGGGGATAATGCCTTTTAAATTATTAAACAAGAGGACCTTGCATCTTCGTGTATTTATTCATGTTTCCGAAGGTAAGAATAAATGCCAGTGGTACAAATGTTGAAGTGGTGTATTTGCTAGTGTACCTTTTGTACTACCTAATAAGGATATCACTGTTTTACCTGTGCAGGCAAACAAAGTAGTCCTACAAGCAACAAAAAGATGAACTTCTGTTGCAGTTCACCTTTGACCTTGCTTTATCCCTTATGGATGAATCCCATCATATAATTACAAAACATAAGTAGACAATAAATACAAATATCGAATCGAACAGCAAGAATTCGCAACTAATAGGTGACAAAGTAAAAGCACATAGTATTAATAGGAACAGTGAAGTAAAAGGAATGAAATGAGGTAAGTGCTTCTCAAGTCTACATTTAAAATTGCTAGTAGTTCTACACACTATTGATAACTATGGTCGTTATAAATTTGAGTTCAGATTCGAGATCAATTTTTGGTGTCTACATTTAGTTCTTGCATGTGAAGCATCCTCTACTTCACTAGCTTATCTGATTTAAAAAAAAAAAAAAAAACTCGAGAACAAAGTTTTTCTTTAAGCCTCTATAACAGAAGAGTCAAAGGTACAGAGTCCGAGGATAATGATGGGATTCAAGAATTTAGAATAAAAAGGATAAGATAAGCCCAAGACAGAGAAGAGAGCATTATTCATAGTCTGTGTAATTGAAATGTTAAAAGGTGAAAGTCACCAAAACAAAAAATCATCACATTGAGTGTCTTAACCACGTATGAAACAATTTACATGAGAACAGAAATATATATAAGATTTGTAATATCATTTCTTCTGAATAAACAAACAACACAGAAAAGTCAATACAATTTTACCAGTCATATAAATATCAAGAAGAACGAATCAGAAATTACAAAAACAAAAGAGCGAGAAGGTGCTACCACTTCACATCTCTACTTCCCTGAAGAAAAAAAATAATTACATAGAGCCTGAAAATCCAACATTCCGATGTCACAAAAAATTCCTATCACGGCAAATGTCTGAGGTGGAAAATACATAAAATGCATGTAAAAAATAAACAATTTCACATCAATCACCTCATGCTTCACTTTTATAAGCATATATATACAAGGAAAGGGGTATGCTTTACATACTTTAAACATATTTTCTTTTGCTTGAATAAACTCTTGCAATTAGGAACGATTTTAAGGATTCGTGAACTAGGCAGTTATACTGCCATTCTATAGTTCGCAAAATCAGTGCTACGGAATTAATGGAAGCTAGTTATTATGATAATGCAGTAGTTATCAGGAAACTACAAGTATATTTCATTGCAAACTTCTGAAAATTTAAACCAAGTTTGAACTGTGATGAACGATGTCATCCAATCGAGACTCATATACTGAAAGACTACTTTATCACTATGTGATAAGATTTCTGAACGAATCGAAAACGCCGCTATCACAAAGAGATATACAAATGACAAAACATGACATGCCTATAATTTAATTTACATCCTCGTCAACCTTTGCAACCTATTAGATACTCTTAATTATCGTAAAAATAATCACAGTTATTTCCAGTATAGTTTTGTTCATAAAAATTTACTGACAACTGTCAGATGTAATAAATTGGAGTAAATTCGATTAAATGAAATTTTGAGAATCAGTCAGAGTATATTTTGTATAGCAAACATAGCAAATAGGTTGACGTGGATGATATAAATTTTTTCCTCTCGAGCACTAGCAATTATTAACGGAAGAGCTAAAACTATAAGGAAGATACGGAAAAAATATTGAAAAAACTTTCTAAATTAAGGTGATAAATATATGAAAAATAGGTCACAGCAATGCTTCAGAATGTCTGCAACAATCTGAAAATCGGTCGTTTGCAGAATAAAATGAATAACAGCACAGCAATAAAATATTTATTCAAAAGAGTTTGAACTCAAAAATATTAAAGTCATTTTAATTTTTTGTTTAAGCAAAGGAGGAAAAGTCGAAAAAAAAGAAAGCATTAATTGTTAATAAGGGACAACAATAATTAACCTTTTTTAATCTCACGTTTACATTAATTATTACTAGAGGCGTTTCTTCCCAGTAATAATCGAGGTCTGTTTAATACGGATGGATTTCAAGTTTTTCTACTTTTGATCAAGATATTATGAATTTGATTGGATGATATTTTAATAAGATATGAAGACTTTAGTATCACTTCATTTTTAAGAAATCTTTCCACAAATTGGCAATTAATACTATTTAAAACTGTTTACCTAGAAATATCCTAATTAAAAGGAGAAATCAACGAACCTACCCGTTGTTCTGCTTCAGCGTTTGAGCATAGCTTTTCTTTTCTTTTGGTTCTTTCTTTTCTTTTCTTTTACCTGCAGCAACTGAACTAAAGGTTGGCTTCTCGCACAACTTCTCAGGCTCTTTTTTCATCTCCATTTTCCGTGACATTTCTTCAGAAAGACATGGGAAAGCACCCTGAATATACAGTATATTATTGCCCAATATTTATGTCATCATATTCTTTTCTCTTAAAAAATATGTAAATCAAAATAAGGTGACCTCTTCAAAGCTATACTCTGTATCGTCTGTTTTTTTAGAACTACTCGTTTCTGGTTTAGAATCGTTGTCGCTAATTTCTCTAGCAGAATTTTGCTGCTCGTCATTTCTTTTACTTTCGTCTGGTAGAATATTCGCTGTAGGTGGACGTAACATACATTTACTCTTCCAAATTCCAGGCGACAGCATATCTTTTTGCTTATTTCGTTGTTGCCTTGCCATTATATTTCTTAAAACAACTTTTCTTAAACTTAGCATAACGCTCAGTTCCGACAATTGTTGAAATTTTTTTTCAAATAATACAAACAATAATTTGAATCTGTCTTTAATTCTCATTTACAATGGCTGCATCTTTAGCTAAAAAAAACATTTACCGTCCAAATGACTGATCATAATCAAAGCGATGTAGTACATTTTCATTTTGTATGCTTTTCTGAGACTCAGCCACTGTTCGACTTCGCACAGTACCTACAGAAGTGATCACATATAGCAATTTAATCATAAACAACTAGAATGACAATATTATCAAAAACCGACCGAAATAATTATTCAGACGATTTTGTCGACCTCGATAACGAACATAAATAAGAGAATCATTATTTTTCTCTCGATATGCATCTCGACTAAGGTCTCCACGGTTATTGTTATTACGGCGGTCACTTACACATTGATAATCACTATTCGCATTAAAATCGCGATAACTACTGTTGCAAATTCGTTGATTATACATGTAACTCCCTCTTGCTCTTGAATTTGAACCTGATTGATCAAAATTCTCAAATGTTTTTTATAGTCAAGTCTTCAATGAAAAAATTGTGAGAGCAAAATACCTCTAAAATTAAGATTAGTCTGCCTGACATTACTCGAACTTCGCATTCGCTGATGATTCATATTTTGATTTCCCATTGAAGAGGATGTAGAAGCTATGTGAACAACCGTAGCACCTGGCTTAAAAGTTGCACATGGAACATACCCGTAGCTGGCCAAAATTTGACCCAAATCGAAACTATCTGCAAATGATGGCTGACAGCATTATCTTACTTAACATATTAGCAATATCTTAAAAGAATAAATCTACTAAAGCTTACCTGATGAACATGGGGGAGTAGCAGGCATGATGGATAAAGGAACAATAGGGTCTGCCAGAGTCTCCGAAGATACTTTAGAGGGAGATCGACCTGACATGAGATTCAATGGCTCTGAATATGGTGCCCCACCTGTTTTTATCCGTGCCTGAAAAACAGTATATGGAAGGTATCGATGAAAAAAAACTTAGGAGTCTATGTACTTTGCTGCATTTCCGCATGAGCCGAGTATTTCTGCAGAGTCCACATTGTAGCTTAAGAATAATTTTTCAATTCAGTAAAAAAGGCAATTACTTTTACAATATAAATTGCTTCAAAGTACTCAAAAGTCACAAATATATTTTTATTCGTAACTTTTCATAGCAAAAATAAGAAGAGAACACTTACACAGATTGGCTTATTGTTAAAAGTCTTGCCAAGGTTTTGCAAATGAAGGAATGCGCGCTCTGTAGCTTCCTCTGATTCAAAAGTTACATACCAGCTGTTATTGAGACCGTATTGAAGACTTAAATAAGGTGGCCCACCAACGAACATCGAAGCCACCTCCTAAAAAAAATTTGAGCTCTAACGACCAACATTTAGCTTCAGAAATCTTGTTTATTTAAAAACTCGTAATTATGCTAGGCAAAATATAAGGAACTGACAAAGTCAGAATACCTATGAATAAGCATGAAGTGATTGTAGTAAGTTTAGAGTGTGTGCACCAGTTTCAAAAACAATGCATTTAAAAATTTATTAACATTAAAATTACAGATTGAACGATATGACGAAAACAACATCAAAATTGTATTCGAACCTTTTCATCAGTAGATTCAGGAATTTCACGAAGAATAATAGTGCACCGCTTAGAAACGGCTCGTACCCGTTGTCCTTTTTCATCAACTTGTACTTGGGACGATTCTGGAAACAATAATACAAAAAAAAATATAATAAAAGTAAGATAGACTAGATAATGATTATTAGAATTGAAGCCGACATTACGTTTAATACACAAATGAAACCTTCAAGCTGATTCTCAGATTACTTCAATTTTTTACTCGGTATACTGGCTGACGATCATCGTTTTCTAAGATCAGAAAATGTCAGCATCCAATTAAAAAGACTTATTTCTTATTCATTAACAAGACTTTCCGCCTGAAAATCTGAAGCAGTTAGAATTCATAGATAAACCTCTCAAAACTTTCACAACCAAATTGTAATCACTGGTAAGGCGTTTGACCTTCGGAAAATTAGCGATAATTCGTATAGGTACGTACTGATCATTATCCATCTGACAACGCAAAAACCTGTCAGTCATTAAATTTTCCCTGAAAATTAATAAGATTTTTTAATTTTCAACATATAATTAAAGTACCTGGATTTTTTAATACAACTTTTCCAATATAATTCAGATGTATTATGTTAACAAATTTTATCATTGGATTTTTTAAATTATCTCAATTTTTCTGAGGTAGATTTTATAATTACAGATTTGCTGTTTTTTTAGTTACCGAATTTTTTTAGGATTCTAATTTTTTTTTTAAATTACTAATAATTTGAACCCCTTAATTATCTTCAAAAAGTAATAAATCTTTTGATCTCCAAAACAACAAAAATAGTTAAAGGTTTTAAATATTATTTACATCCAAGGACAAATATAAAGTAATGATTTACCTTGAAAAATAATACTCAAGCTGGGCTTTAAGTTGGAGCTTGACTTGTTCGGGAGATTGTGGTGTGATCTCTGGTGAGGTCATTCGTTGTGATGGTGCTACCGTTTGTGACGGCTGAAGATGAGTCGATGATGACGATGATGATGGTGGAAGTGGTGGTGCAAGAGCAGATAGGGTTGATGTTATGCTTAAAGGTATTTGGATTATAGGTGGTTCAGCTGCTGCCAAAAGCTGACTTTCACACTCTGGTGTAAACCACCACGGTAGCACTGGTGTCGGAGGAGTATCGCATTCACCAGATGGTATCATCATATCATCTAGCATTCGATCAATACTACTTGAGTGCACCTGAAAACAATCAGGAGCGATTGAGAGAGATCTCAGAAACAAATCTGGCTCTATACAATTTTGTCTTCAGCAAGGTAGCCACAATAATATTTAATTCAAATCTGCAAAAACATTTCATCTTTTAAGAATTAAAATTTGACGTTAAAAAACTTGACGTAATAGATGTTTTCTGTCAACTGCAAACAACTTCAAAAAAGTCTGCAGTTATCTGAAAATATTAAAATTAGATTATCGAAATGATAAGAGACAACAGGTCTTAACCTGCTTTCTAGATTTTCCGAGGAGTCTGAAAATTTTTCACACATCAAACAATAGTAAGAAGAAAATGAATACAAGTACATTACTGCAAGATAATAGAAATACTACTTTTTTACACATATAAAATAAACCTCTCTAGAATTATCCTCTGTAACATCAAGTGTTCTGCACTGTGCGCACACAAAATATATCCCCTAAATCCTCATGTTTTGTTAACATATAAATATATATTAATATTATGTGATTTTCTTTTATGATGTGACTGAAGTCAGACAGAAAAATTTCAGCATTTATCGTTATCTAAATACCTCTGCCTTTTCAACATTTGTAATATTATCCATCTTTGCTCGTATCCTTCCTCAGAGTGATAAGGATAAAATCCATAAATCAATGAACTAATTTAGTTGGTTACAAGAATGAGAATTCATTGCAATATTCGGTGAATCGGTGCCAATTTTTGGAATGCATACACAATCAAAACCTACATATATTTACTTAAAATCAATGACCGGAAGCAAAAAAAGAATGCATGTGTTTCAGGTGGAAATTTCTGAGAATGTAATCGGAAATCCGCTCGCACCTTCAGATATTTCCAAAACATTAAACTTATCCTTATTCGTCTATCTAAGCATTCTATTTGAAATATTAGCTTTCTTGTTCTTTTTTAGCCTACTTTTTATCTTCTATTTTTTAAAGAATGCAAAAAGCAAAAAATTTTGCTCAAAATAAGATATCACTTATGTCAAAAAATATACTATTTTTTCAGAAATTACTCTTTTTCCATTAATTTCTATCCGACCCTCAAGTTACAAACCTTTATTCAAGTAGTGAATCTCTTGCTACTATTTACATGACCAATTTTCATTAGCCTCGAAGTCAATGAATTCGTGCTTAAAATGAATATTAAATAAATTCAGCAAATTATCGCTGTTTAGAAGTTGTTTGCGCAGCGAGATTAATGTCAATGCATGAACTGCTCGAATCATCTCACTGATAGATGACCAAACACATGAAGTAAGAAATATGTCCATATTCTCATATATCTATTTCAATATGCACTAATTTATAATATTTGTGCAAAAATAATGCGATCCCTCGCACTTAGCTGAATCCACTGAAATTTTCTCAGGTTCGTGCTAGAGGAAATGCAGTCAACATGATCTCCTCGGATACAATCTTCTTATCCCTTATCTACTCAAAATCATACATCTCATAAAGAGAGTTATCCGTGTTCAACGACGAAAAGATACGTCTAGCACTCGGCTAAAATGAATCTTGAGATGCTGGCGAGAAAGCTTTACTCTGATTCATTTACTCCAATAAAATCTACAGAAGTATTAAAATTTCCATAAAAGTAGCACGAACCTGAGAAAATTTCAATAACGCTTATAAGATCTGCAATTTGATAAAAAACGGAAAAATGGACATTGGAAATTAATAACGAAATTTTGCAGGTCCAACTTTGAAAGTCTTACTGCTCCCTTCTTGTTAACACATTCTTTTCCATTTAGTCAAAATTTTGCCCTCAAATTGCATAAAGTCAACACGATAATTAATATAGATATTGGAAGGAAAATACCAAGCGAATATATAATTTAACAAAAAATTTACTCTTCAATTTTTAGATTTACATGTTTTCCTTACCAGATCACTTCATGTTACCAGTTCCATTGGAAGCTTTTGAAATCTCAATGATAACATCTATCTGACTCATTCTCTTACGCATTTAAAGTGATAAAACCGACTACATCCCTAGCGATGCAATTATATACTGATATTAAAACTAGGAGTGATCAAAATTCGACTTACGTGCCAGAATGATTAAAATTCTTACTGTGATCAAAATTCAAAATTCTAGTGATCAAAATTCTACTGCTCTAAAATTCTCATCCCTTAATCAATTTTTGAAATGTTCAACTTTGTGTCTAATATAGATCAAAAAGAAGAAAATCTTGTGTGGATCTGTATTACCTTCATCATCTATCTTGTAATTATAAATTTTCCTTCAAGTGTAACAAGAGATGAAAATAAGAAAGTAAAAGCAAAATCAAACCCGCTGTATGATGTAGCATCGAGGAGAGGTTTCGGTGCACATAAAGAATGCGCCTGGTTCGCCTTGTTCATTTATTACAGCCATGTCTCAGGCCATAACTAACATCATATGCAAATTAGTAATAAATACGAATATTTTTAGCTGTAGAAAGTAGTTACCGTAATGGTAATTATAACATTAATGATGATGAGAATAACTGTCGCTGTTGATCGCGATAGTAATCAATGATGACAATGATGATTTTGTTCATGAAACGACAATAATTACTGAGCAACTTGGAACTGAAGCAGAAGAAAGCTGCGATAAAAACGACAATTAACCAATATGACGATAATGAGACTGTCAGTGATGGTGACGACAATGAGCAATGGGACAATTCGTGTACCATCCTGTAAAATTAGTTTAATTACATAACTATACATTGTTAATATTGACGATATTGATGACAATATTGTGCACATTACTGTAAATAACATTGTCAGCATTTTTTACCACTTTACATTTTATGGATCGAGCAAGCAATTTTAATATCCAATAAGCTATCTCAATATTTCGCATAACGGAAAAAACGTTGTACAAATTATAATGAACAGGGAGGCATGTATTTGGTTGACTAGTAGCAAACAATTCAGACAATGATGCTTCAGTGGTAAATAGAAAATCAATAATTCTTGAATTAATGTTGTACTTGACTGTAAATAGTGACGAAAAATTCGAGTAAGATTTCAAATTCTACTAGCAATTCTTAACAGGAACTAACGAGAATATATCAGATATGAGTATGAGATATATGAAATGTGAAAATGATTAAATTTGTTTGTATGAATTCAAGTTTCAACTCTAGAAACAAACGAAGAATTGTAGTTGCAAAAGTCCAAAGAAATGATTTCAATAAATATCACAATAAGACGCACGAAAAATCTACGGAAAAGTGGGTGCATCCAGAAAATTATGGATATTTGAGGCTAGCAAAAGTACATAATAGAAAAATGAAGAATGTATAGAACAATCTTAACGACAAAGAACTGCATGCTATGATCGTTATTATCATCATTATTTCACAAATATCATGATTACTACCACCATTATTTGTACCATCACTGTCGTTATCATTACCAATATCATACATGATAACGATAATAAAGATGATGTCAACTATTGTCAACACTATCAGCGATTAACTAGTGTTAGCAATGGTAAAATAGCGATTAAATAGAAATATCTGACAGTTTAATTAAATTCCTTTAAGAGAATATTTCCCGTTCGCCTACTGAATTGAAATATTTTGCATAGAAATAAATAAATCGGAAGAGGAGACCACAGCCACATTACATCACATGCTATTCAATAATACACAAACGCACACGCACACAACAATATACACATACATACAGACTCAGACGTGCGTGCCCATCCACTCACACGCACAATTTAAAGCCAGTACAGATGTATAAACATCTGTATTATTCAGTCATCTTTGATTCAAGATGTATAAACATATTCGCATACAATCTTTGGCTACTCACGCAATACACACTTCGCACGCACCCAATCTTTGTTTACTCACGTGTATGCATCGCCCACACAAATGTCCTCGTCAAACATACACACATGCACACATGCACGCATGCACATACAGACACGTAAATTGTGCTATTCACGTGAAACAGAGCAGATATTAAAGAATAAAGAAAAATATAGCGAAGAGAGCATCTGCTTAAGAAAGAAGAGCAATGTATGTTTGTAACTCTGTTCAGAAGGCCTTGAATATAAAAAGGGGTACAGAGGTGAATGATAAATTCTAACAGATTGTTGTTAACAATTTAAAATAATCCGTAAGTAATTTGAGAAGCATGATGTCTGCCAGAGAAGTTAAATATGTGCATGACAATGAATGACGTGTGTATGCTGAGGTATACAAAGGTGAAATCATAAATAAAAAGGAGCGAGCGGTGCGTGTGTGTGTGTGTGTGTGTGTGTATGTTACTTCGATATTTACATAAATCAATGAAATGAATGTGGGGGTGCTTCCGTTGCCATTGCTCCTTTCTCACCGCAAAATGCCTACGGAAATGTTAGCAGGAAGCAAAGTTATCAAAGCATTCGAAATGCAACTCCGCATAGCGTATGTGACTTAAGAGTGATGAGGAAAGCGTCATTCACGAAATGTGCACGTAATTTTGGGTATCATCTATTCGGGAAATATACGAGCTCATAATCTAAGGGAATATGCGTGAAGAAAGGAGAAACACACGATCCTTCGAATGATTTTCTTTTTACTTCTTCATTTCAACAGACTATACACAGGTGAAATTTCCATTTTGACCTCTTCCAGAAATATTAGTAAATTAGCATAATTACCGCATAGTAAGGCTGTTAACTTATTAGATGCCGGTACGACGCGAGCAGGGAAATGGAACAGAAACAGATGATTGAAAGAAGATGAGTTGGCACATTTTCGTTGTAATCAATGACGAAATCATTGCCAGTATTTATGCAGCGAGGGCAAATTTTTGGATTAAAGAGATACTAATACACGTGTACCATGCTCAACCAGGCGAACAGTTACACGTATACTCCGTGGCCGAAAAATTCACTCCACTGAACCAACTATTGCAAATCATTTATGTCTAATGTAATCTTGTCTTGATTCGAATTTCAGTTTAGAGCAACGCCTGAGAAGATAATCATCGCTTAAGAAATTTGATGTCGAGAAATTATGCGTACTGTAAAACTTCCTTTCTGTAGTATTTCGTTCTTTCTGTCTCCGAAATATGTCCATCTCTTTCCTCAAATTAACATTCCCCTTTTTAACAACAAATTTGTAAATCCACGCAAATTTTGTATCATTTTTACTTAATTACTGCTATGCAATTATCCACTTCACTTCTTCATGAATTTTTTAAGTACTACATAAAAAAATCCAGAGGAAGTGTTTAAAAGCTTAACGATCGGTCACAATCCTCAGGACTTAAACTATTTTTAAGCACAAACACTTTCTTTAGAGGTTCGATCCCAGTAAAGTATGTTTTGGCGAACTCTGATAAATGCGGTGGATTACTGAAATATTGTTAGGAAACCAAAAATAATATTTTAATTATATTAGTAGTAATAATAGTGACGGAATAATATCACTACACATATCTGTTTTAAATGGCAGTCTATTGGTCAAATACCGATGTATCAACACGTTATGGTATCAAAATTAAGCATTTTTCCAATGGAACAATTTCCGGAATGCAAGCACGCACGCATCCTTATATGCATTCACATATAGGCGCCATAAAAATCTGCTCAACGCCAAGCCATGCCTGATTAGGTCTAAGCAGTCAGGCATGGCTTAGCATTGCTTGGCCCGAGAATGCTATTGATAGTTAATTAGTTAGGTTTATGGTTTTGCAGTAATGTCTAATTTCTGACCTAACTTCGCTAGTAGAAAAAAAGTAAGTGCATGCAGAAGTAATACTTATGAGATTTAACTATTTGCCCACGCAAGGATATCTTTGACAGAGTAAGTGATTAGGAAAAAATTGGTATTAATTGATTCGTCATTTAGAGCAGAAAAGCTTTGAAGAGACGTCTGCGCGAACTGAAAGTGATTCAAGGGAGGACAGATGCAAATATGTAGCAAGACAAGCAAAGATAATGAATGATGAATTGGAGGCTTGAAAGATAATGAGTGATAAAGGTGGATAACGAAGTAAGATAACAGACGATAAGGGATGTTGAAAGAGCGTAGAGAAGATAACAAGACATAAAGAAGATAACAAGAAATCGATCGATGAGATTCATACCTCCGGTCATTTGTAATGAGTGAGATAGTACATGTTGATAGCAGTGATCAGATATTGATAAATTCAATAGATGATAAGTTGATAGATAGCATGTGCGATTCTTATGCTGTCAACGTGAGTTTATTAGTTGCCTCTAACAACGTAAGACTGATCTTTGAATGGTTACTCTATAAACACGAACGAAAAAGGAAGTAATGACAAAATCGAACGTAGGCTTATTACTGACGTAAGTAACCTGGACTGAAAATCGAATTTCACGTACTGAGGGAACTAAAACTGATTAATAATAATAACGATAATAAAAATTAGAAGCGATTGGTACTATAATATTTTTGTACAATAGCAGTCTTATAGAATTTAATAAGATGCAATAAAAAATAAGTAATATTGTCAGTGTGAATATGTAAACAAATTTATCAAGAACTGAGTGCGTATATTGAAAAAGCATGGCTAAAGACAAAAAAAAAGCATCCTTAAATCATTTTAATCCATTCTGCTTGCTTGAAAGGTTTGCTTCTTGCATTATCCACAAATAAACATAATTTCTGGCCATTTTATTGAAACTATCAAACTTTTACTGCTTCTACTTTTTCAATAACTGCTTCTGCTATGATATCAAAAAAAGGGTCACTGAAACCTGCAAACGAATAATTACAATTATCATTAAGCACTGAAACAGCGATATTATCATTGAGCAATCTGATATACTAAGAATCCAACAATATAGCTAATAGAAATATTATTAGCAGCTAATGAATGCTAATAATTATCCTTGATAAAATGCAAATTGCTGTTAAATTGTTCACTTGTGGTTGGTGTAAGTGCTGCTTATATAAGAAAACGAAAATGGCGTGACCAAAGTTGAATACCAGTGGAGTTAATCGCAACAAAAAATAATTGAATTTCGAAGACTGAATGCAAATTTTTTGAGGAAAGCAAATGAAAGAAATTTTTCATTATGAAAAGAAGTGATTGCTACGCAGTAGTTTCTGACTTTAATTGATTTGCAACAATTTTTCCAAGAATTTCTAACAATTCACTAATTGAAGTGTGAAGTGAGAATAACAAAGCTGAACTAACTGTCCGGGATGATTAGAGCGCGATATTATTCAAGTACATAAAATTAGCATATTAAATGCCGATAGTCAGCGATTGCTACACATTTTTAACTTTCAAGTGTGAAGATAACTTCTGTTTCTTCGTTCCATCTTTACATTTTCGACTCTCAGACGGTATTTACAATATATGTTGCTAAGAGTGCAATGAATAAAATAATCAAGTAGCTGGCGAAGAATGCTTTTTGACTACGAGACAGCACAGCATTCATTTTGTTTGACTCTTTACTCCTAGGCTTATTTTTCAAGCCAAATATTTATCCATCAGACATTTAGATGAAAGACATTTAGATGAAGACAGACATGGCAAATGACAAATGTACCTTACTCCGGCTTTTACTTCTCTCACTGGACTTGCTTATAGCATTCTTTAAAGCCTACGAAATACAAGCTCGCACACAGGCACACATATACCAACACGTACACCCATATAGAGCGCTTAATAAATGAACTAAGTAAACTCCATGCCTTTCAAGTACGCCTAATCATTGTTTATTGTTTATTTTTCCTTCATTTCCTATATTGAATGACTTTGACTCTCAGAGTTACGATGGGATAAATTAATAAGTTTACTGATTACTACTGATTCTTTAATGGTTGTGAAAGCCAGAGAAGGAATTTCACACAATTACTTCATGAGGTTATGTAACTCTGTGCGATAATACGTGGACTTCACTTATCCTTCTACATATATTATGGTTTTCCTCTAACAGTATCTGAATATAAAGAAAAATAACTTTTCAAGACTTGAATACCCTTACAGTGATTGCATACTTTATCTAGCTAGCTTCTTCACTCATCTATTTACTTTTCAATTTCTAAATAAGCTTTCTAACTCTTTTTTTCTTACTACTATGCTGTTATCTTAAAATGCACAAAAAGGAATTGGATCAGTTACTGGACATTATATCAATTGATGGGCATCGTTGTTCTGAGTTTCTTGTTAACAGTCACAATTTCATACTGCTGTCAAGTAAAGTAATACTTTGTCGAATTTTACTACTGTATTTATTCTCATTTTTCCATTCAACATACGCCTCATTAGCTAGCTGCCGCTGTGTACATTTTAATTTTTCCTCTGGGATTTTCCAGTCACCAAATTTTCCAAATGCTCCTTTGTCCTCATCACTGTTATCATCATCGTCATCATTACTACCTCTACAATACTCTTCAGCAAACATTCCACATTTATGTTTACTATACAAATTTACGGCTCCAAATGGATATATCATTGAAATAACCTTTGATTACTTTCATTTTTCATCACGAACTGATCGGTAAGTAATAAGTTGAAGAACTTACTTTGGTATTACAGTAATTCAGATGTTTTGATTATTTAAGGTTGTTTGATGGCATATCCCATGGACTCATTGACGAAACAAGCGTGTATAGTGCTGAATTTTGTGCCAAAGAAGTGAATTTTAAATTGTTTGGCTTTTTACTATCTTTAAATTAAGCTCGCACTGAAATACCAAAATGACCATTTTAATATTTCAACGCATTATTTGAATTTTATCTATTCAAATCAGTGCAGTTTGCAGAATTTTCACAAAAATATACGAAGCCAAAATATTTTTTGTAAAATTTCTCAAACTTCTTCGGCTTGTATTCTTAACTTGCCATTTACGGAAGTGCAATTGCTCACTGCTTTTTGTTTTATATCTATGATTACTTCAATGCGTATTATTTCTCAAGAAAAACAAGCGAAAGATTTTGCTGTTAAAAATATTTCATTTAAGATTTTGATTAAATCAAAAGTTAGACAAAATTTTTTTTCGACATCATTGCTTTTTCATACTGTTATTTATGGTTTTTATGAACGGATCAAACTTAATGTAACTTATAACTCTAAGATAAGAAAGTTTATCTCAAAAATTGCACATTTAAAGATTGATTCTATTTCCATTTCTTCAAGATTGAATTTGGGCAGAGATTCTATTCGTACTCGAGATATTTCATTTTTCATCTGCACATATCCAACTTATCCAAAGGATTCCATGGAAATTATAATTTTGTCTCTAAAGGTAAATTTTAGCTTTATTTTTGCCGAAATTATTTAAAAGTTCGGAAAAGTTGATCTGACTTTAATTGCGTTCAGTCAATTACTAATTTGATTTACCTGTGTAATGAATTTTTGCAGAAAAATTTTTATCGGATGCTACTGAAATTGAACCTTGTCGCTTTCGAGTAGATAGTTTGACTGGCAATATCTTTTCTCCAAATTATCCATATTTTTATCCTTCTAATGCTAACTGTACTTTCTATTTGACCTTTCGTCGGGAATTTAATCTTGAGATTTCCCTCAAGTTTATCAACTTAAGACGTGTGTGTCATGAAGATTTCATTGATATTTATCAAATGCATCCGAAGGTAAAACAGTTAAGTATTTCTTTCATAGATCGAATTTTAATACTGCCATTCTGCAGCTTTTTATGCTTTCTTATTTTGTTTGAATAAGAATTGCTATATCATCAGTGCCTGCTAACAAGCAATTTAAAAAAAAATGCATTTCGTATTACTCGTTTTTTCATTTATGAGTGAAAATTTGCTATTCTAATTTAAGTAAAAGTCGAAAGTTTGAGGTGCATCTCGAAAAACTGTGCTATGATTCGATGCCACCTTATCGCATTTATTCAAGACGAGGATTTATCATTGAGTTTCGTAGCGGCGATAACAATAAAATTAAAGTATGTCGACTAGAGATTTACTTTTTGTCTGTGCATATTATTTTTATGACAAAATTTTGAAAATTCCAACTTCCGACCAAACTGCAAATTCAGTCCACTTGAAAATTACTCATTCTAATGAAGACAATAAGTGAATTTACCGTGTTTTTTAATTTGTTTAAATTATGCATCCGTATTGAATATTTTCAAATAATTTGACTGATTAGACAGCACTTTTAACATGTTTTTTGTTTGTTTTGGTTATTGTGAACTAAGTGAAATTTGTACTGAATTAGAAATAATTTAGCAAAAAAATTCTATTCATAGAACATTTAACTTTTATCGTTGTTTATTTTATCACTGTATACTTTAAAAATAATTTTCATGAAAAATTAAAAGTCGTTAATTTTGAAAAAATAATAATAATTTGATATGATCACCGAAGAACTTAATTTTTTAGGTGTCACTAAAGGCTATCAATATAAAATGAACTATCAAATTTCTATGGAAATCACAAAATACGCAAAACTGAATGATAAAAACTTTACATTAGAACTGCATCCACTATGCAACCGCTTCTAACTTGCTCTAAATTACATAATTTTTGAAAATCAATTATTGTTTACTGAAATTGGAATTAAACATGTCTTAGTAGAAAAATTGAATCAATTTAATATCCTGCTCGCTTAAACATTTCAATCCATTGGATATTCCATTTATAAATTACTGTTAAAAAGTCACTTCATTACAAAAAAAACATAGAAGTTAAAAACAGCTATTTTATCAAAAGGTTCTCTTCAAAAATAAGTTTTATATGATTGTGGCTAAAAAATCAGAAGGAGATCAACCCGATATTGTTTGTTGCTTCAGTGATATTAAAAAGGTGAAATTATTTCAAGCACACACTTTCAAATTCATAATCTCACAATTTTCCTCACAAATTAAACAAACTAAGCAAGCTATTGCAAGGCACTTATCCAGGAAGTTTGTCTTTTCATTCAGCATTTTGCTGAGAATACAAGCCAGAAGCAAAGTTAAGTTACAATGTATTCTGTGTACTTTTGATAGATTAAGTGTGCATTTCGTTCTCCCAAAAAATACGTATTTAAATTTTTTTTTGACTATAAAAAAGGAACCGAAATTGTTTGCATTTTTTTGGAATTTCTACAAATATTTTATTTTTTAAAAGTGTATTGAAAAGTTTTTTTCCAAAGTAGCTACATAAATAATTTTATCATCTGATTACTTATCAAAGTGATATCCACGATAGAAGATTGTAGTGTGTGAGTTCTTAGCTTTGCTATAAATAGTGAGAAGAGAAAGATTTCCGTTCAAAGGCGCTTGATTTTTAGTTCGAAGCTCGTCATTTGCTTCAGATCAGTAGTAAATATAAGAGCGAAGCTTCTCAAGGAATCAACAATAGTACTGTTTAAAATCATTCTCTGCAATCATTCTTATTATCAATAACTGTGCTGAATGTTTTGCACAAAAAGTTTTGAAAATTGTATAAAAGAGAGAAAATCAATGGGTACTAATGCAATAATGAAAGTTTTGAAGTTAATTTAATTTTCAGGCTCGTGGCTTTCACATATCTTACGAATATATAGGCCAACAAGGGCTGCGAAAGACAACTAATGAGAACAAATGGAAAAATGACTTGATTTCTAACCCATATGGGTATGATCCAGATTCAGTTCCGGATTCTGTTTTGCATTCTGCAGAATCTTTGGCCTTCATTAATTTTCTCAACGATGCCATTCCGATAAGTGAGCAGTATCTATTAAGTTTGCCTTCTTTCTTTAACCAATCTTGAAGCAAATCGATTTTGCTTAATATCCGAGCAGTCTTACTCTTTTCAAGACAAGACTGAGCATTTTTATAGAAGAGAAAAAATGATTTTATACCTTGTCGACAATCATATTTGTTTACTGTTTCTTTTTTTTACCAAAATAATCGCAACGGATGGTAAGTTCATTGAAAATTTTGATCACCCTATCATCTCGTCTAGTTTTGGCTTATTAGCAAGCAAACTGACTCACTCCCGGACTAGATTTATTCTTAACTTTGCCTTCTAACCTTATTTAAGTTTTACTTCAGTATACTCCAAAGTATATTTATATCAATACATATTGATTTTTATGTTTTTCAGAAGGACAGTGTCCAGTGCGAATTAGTTCACCGTCTGTAGCAGTAACGGAACACTCCCGACTTCCTTCCATCTCAGGCATCCTTAACTCAACTCATTTCATTGATGGCGATGATCCTTTCAAGTGTCAGTTTATATTCTTAGGAAGTGGTACTGAACGAGTTCAGATAACTTTCTTCTACTTCAATTTATACTCTCGTATGCCTCATTTGAACAATCTCTCATCACATAGGTTTGTGCTCTTTTAAGGCATTGAACGTAAATCATTTAGCAAACTATCTTCACAAACAGCGATATTAAGGAGAAATTTTCAAATAGTTTTAAGATGCGACGAGATGGATCATCTCTCTGCGCATGTACTCATCGGCACACGCATGTCACGTATCGAAGACTTTTGTGGCACAGAGACTCCTCCACGGTTGATGTCTACTAAAAACTTACTAACTCTCGATTACGTTGTCCGATCTACGGGCGCGATGAGACGTATGATGGGACATGCTGAGAAGTACGGATTCGTTCTAAGGTATCACTTTCGATCTGATCTTGGCTTATCGGATATGAATGCTGAATCAAGAAAGGATTCCAGTAGGTTATCTTAGTTTGCTTATTACCATTTCCGTATTTTTACACGCAAATGTGCTCATTTTTGAAAGGTCCAACTTAATTGTAATGTCATCATTGTGTTGCATATTTACTTAACAATTTATTAATTAAAATCTTCCTAGTGCAATTGTTATCATATCAATTTGAACGAAAATTAACGAAATTAAATAAACTAGCAAATAAGTTCTTAATTTTTGCTTCACGCTAATTATAACACATGCAATCGTAATTACTCTCTTTATACTTATACCAAAAATACATGTAAATTGAGAGCTATCCGAAATAAGATCATAAGATCAAGCTGTTGTGAGCAAATAGACCAATCGATGCTGATCAGGGTTAATTCTGTACTTAAGCCAAAATTCTTTAATCCGTTACTAGTTTCGCTGTTTTGCAGCGAGCACCAAAAATTATTACCAAATATTTTACAACTGTGACAAATAATTTATACTGCATTTTTCTGTCATCCTATACTTTTAATTAATTACAGATGGATGCAAAGTAATTGTCAGACTTTCAGCCTGTTACTATGAATTTAATTCATCACATCGTACTTCGGGTGATATTTTTTCACCAAATCATCCCGGGTATTACCCACGTAACATTGACTGCCATTATATATTTCACGGGACTGAGAAGCAAATTGTTGCCATTCATTTTGAATATTTCGATGTCGAAGGCTTTGCTACGTATAAGTTTTGCTAAAATTTTCACAGAAATAAATTTTACGTGACTGATTCTTTCACACATATGGATTTTAGATGATCTAAGAATAGATAACTTGTTTTTTGAATTTATTATTATTTGAAACGAGTAAATCTGATATAACTAAATTTTTTCGCTTTGATTCCTTTCCTCAGGGATATTATTCACATTATTTGGAAAATGATTTTGTCAATAGTATAGTAATATTGAAGTAAATGTTATTATATAGTATGAATTTCAGATGTGATGATAGTACGCACAGCGATTACGTTCTATTCAGTAACTACCAAACACATGACCGCACTAATCGCCGGTATTGTGGGCAGGTTTGTCCGAGAAATTCAATTGTTAGTGAATCCAATTATTTTCGAATGTTATTTCGATCTAATGATATCTTTGACGCCACCGGATTCTACGCACATTACCAATTTATTACAGAGCGTAAGTTTATCAAAATGGCATTATTATTTCCGGTGCGAATGAGATCCTTTCAAAAAATATTTAAGAGCAATTAACATGCATTTAGTATAATGCTTAAGTGATATGAAGTAGAGATTCATTTTTGTTGCTAAAGAGTATATTGAAAGTTTGAAAAAATAATAATAAAAAATATGCTTTAAAACTGCTATTATCTTGAAATTGCTTTTAATCTTCTACATAAAAAGTAGGATTCAGGAATGCCAAAAATCACATAAATCATTTTTTATATTAATTAAATATTTGATAAAAATATTCTCGGTAGAAACATAAACATTTTATTTATTTGATTTTGCATATTTCTGCCTGACACACCTTAATTTATTAAGTGAAATTTAGTTATGATGCGAAAATTAGTACTGTTTTCAAGACATTTTAGAAGTGGCACAAATAAACCGAGTAAAAGTGACGACCAGCGCTTGCTCGTTTTCGATTATGTCGCCACGATGGCTAATTTTAGTGCTACTGATGAAAATTTACCATTCTTGGATATCTTAAAAGTGTAGCTTTATTCTGATTCTGCATTTGCGTTGAATTCAAGATTAGAAATGAAATTTTATCAAAATCTTTTACAGCACATGCAAAATAAGCGGAAGACTTTCGACACTCACAAAAATTCTTTTATGACACTGTTAGATGTCATATGCATTGTAAATGAAGTAGTGCTTTACGGTTCTTGTAAACTGCAAACATCAATAAAGATTCTTCACTTATCAGAAATTTTAAGTCTTTTGTATAACATTATCTTAAAAACGAAACAACTTGCGATAGAATAACGAAAAAATATAAATTAACTCATAGATATTGATTCATACGTGGAATTGGGCGAAAACATATCATGACAGGTGCCAGAAATACAATCAAAGTGCTCAGCACACTCCCGAACTGCTAAACTGCATAATCTACCTTCGACTCTGATACAAAAGCCATTTTCGCAAGCTTCACCAATTTGGCAGCTATTCCCATAGCATCCTAAAGAACGAATTCTTTCACAAATTTAATTCAATTCATAAAGTGCTATAAGTTTTTTTGAATGTACCATCTTTTGTACAACGTCCATCGACACAAACATATGTTTCGGGGCATTCAATATGACACGGTAAGCCTTGAATATGTCTACATTGACCTTCTCGGCAAATATGGTCAGATGGACAGCGATCAATACATGGATCTAGAACACATCGTCCTTCTACACAAATCGTCCCTACAAACCAAATTGATCATAATTTCTCTGTTTTTGGGAGAAAATTTTCAGGTCAATCACTTTAACTTATTATGGTCAGATATTTCATACTAATATTCATAGAACTTCGGAGTTTCATTGCATTCGACATTAGCTCATATATCATTTGGATTAAATCCTTTGAATAGTTAAGTTACAGCAATTACGCCTTGGAAAGAAATTTAATCCGTGCCTTCCTCACATGATGAGTAGGTACAGTCTCGACCTATGTTTGACTGACATATTCCTTGTACACACGACATGCCCTTTTTACAAGTGATGTGTGAGCAACCTGAAATTCATCGTTTTCAGTAACGCCAAAGTTATTCTATCTTTACAAGTTACCATATATTTATTCTTTTGATTACTGCTATGTGTTTTATTAATAAAAGTATGGTTTGAAAAATGCTACCAAAAGCTGGAAATGAGTAATTTCGCTGACCTGGGTTCTGAATGCATTGGCGTTGTTGACAAAGTTCACCAGGATTACATTTGCATGGTAATGATTTCTCAAGTGGCACACATCTGCTACCATTGCATTCAAATAATGGACCGCAGTCGAAAGAACTTATACAAAAAGTGTTTGTTACGGTGGCGCAAATACCATCTCTACACATTTCATCTGTTCGGCAGGTAATCCCCAAACATTCTCAAATAAAAACAGGAGAGTTTTCATGTGAAACTTCAAAAAATAAATGTTAACCAACCAGTTCATCGCTTTTAAAAAGTTTCATTAGCCAATGAAGCAAAAGTTTACATTTAATACAAGTGAGTTGCTAACTTTGCTGGCATAGAAGAGCTTATCAAAAAAAAAAATAGCTAGCATCAATGATATTATTATCCCTGAATTTTACATTGAAATAAAAATCTTTTACTGAATTTATTGTCATTAATATAAAGTGTAGTACTAACTATCTTCCACACATCGGCCATTCACACATTTTCCATTCAAACCACAGAAAGAATTCACAGATTTAAAGTGATTTTTAGACACTTCGACATTTCGATTGCATGGCAGACCTTTGGCTTCGTAGCATCGTCCCTGACATAAAACTTGCACAAGATTAGTTTTTATAAAGTATTTGATTTTTCATGCAAAATAGAGTTTGTAGGACCGTCCTGAGCCAAAGGTCAATCAATTTGTTTTGAAATTCTCGAAAACTATTTTCTGGTCTCAGTCAATGTGAGGAAAAGCATAACTGTGATTATTCTACCTTATAGCATCTAGAACTGGAATCACACTTGACCTGTTTGCAATCATTTGGTGCTGTTTGGTTAGTGCTAGAATAACATTCATTAGCTTTGCAAGTATAGTTTAAAGGACATTCAAATCGTCCAAACAAACTTGGACACAGCTCTCCAGTGATGCCACCCAGAAAGTACACCAGCAGTATACTCAATAAAATAAGCATTCCAAACCTTCAGTACAAAATGGACAATAAATGAGTAGTTAAATAAGTAAACAAATACAAACAATAAATACATGTAAATGTTTAGTAAACTATTTTTTACAACTCAAAGTGCTGTTTATTCTATATTCAGTAAAATTGCATCTCTCTCTAATTAATCCTTATTACTTTTCCTCGTTACTTTTTTTGCTTGTACTTATATAAAAAAGCGAAGTTTTTTCTAAACTGTACCAGAATAATTTTTAGAGCTATATAAAAAGAAATTAAATTGGTAACAAGTTTGTCTGTACCTGCTCTTATACTTGCACATCTGAGTACCCTTTATTGCTTGAGAATTTAATTTGCACAATCCTATTTCACAAAAAGTTTCAAAAAGTACTCCCTAATAGGTAGGTCAAAGAAAACACTTAATCAAGAATGCCTAATCAGTAATGCCTTCTCTAATCTATTAGAATTACTGAAATAAGAATATATTTTATGTCTCTTATCTGTGCATTCTGTTTATCTCTGTAATACTGATATGTAATGAATTCTCAATAATTTTCTGCAATTCCTTCGAATAATTCAGAGAATTCCATTCAGTTGGAAATGAAATAACGTATGTTCCTAATAACGTATGTTCGTAAGTAGGTGAGATCTGTGAAATTGGGTCACATGCATTTTTATTTTTATTGTTGTAAACAATCATTTAATTTGATTTTAAAAAGAGTTAAAATTTTAAATGACTAGGTGGATATTTTCAAAACAAAAATCATTTGAAAATTTTAACATATCAACAAAAGTCAGGTGTAAAAATAATATTTTTGCTTTAAAACTTATTTTGCAAAGATACAGATTCACTATTGATTAACAAACGAAAATATTGGGATTAGCTCAAAACTTGAAAATTAATTAGCACTTTCATATTAAGTAATTAAATGAATTAGTAAAGTACAAAACAAATCAGATCAAAAACATTTGCTAGCAAAATTAATTTTCTAAGAAGAGTTAATTGTTGAAATGCGATGTGATCAGAACTAACACTGATACCTGATTCAATTAAGCATAGATGTAAAAATTTGCTCGGATCGAAAATTTTATATTACTGTGAATTAAGGATTTTATACATTAAGTAATAAAAGAAAGTTTTGTAGAAGCGCTATTCTTACGTACATAATTATGATCTATTCACTTTATATTTGTAGTGCGCAACACTTCTTTATCTAATAAAAAAACTTCTGACTGCATGCAAAATCAGTTTTATTATTAAAAAATAATTTATATTTCGACAATTCTAAATTTTCATGAAGATAAATCTTAAATATTCAGACTTATGTGTATGCCCAAAGTTTAATTATGTGTCTGAATTTTACGAAAATGAGCTAATACCTTGCAATGATTTAATTCAAATTTATATCTGTGAGGGATAATGCATGAGTTAATCCCTGACAATGAGTTAATTTTCAATGTGCTCAGATGAATTTCATCTCGTTAAAAATGATAATTACTAGCAATGCGTTGCTATGGATGCCACAGATCTCCCCAACCTAGCAATCAACTTTTCTTGGCTTTTTGTCACTTCGCAATTCCCTCCTTTCATTTCCTTAACAATTTTGAAGTAATATAGTAACTTTGAAACATTTGTACACAAAAGTAATTGGTCTGATGGATTCAAAAAAAGAACGCGTTGTTGCGTATCTCGACTCCCACCCGAAATTCCTCGAGGATTATGTCACTGGACCAAGTGTCACCAATGAAATGTTCCATAGGTGGTGGTTTAAGCGCATGAGAAAGGGAAGCATTAAAGAGGTTGACGAAGCTTGGATGGTTTGTTATGTTATCGCTTATAATTTTTTAATCCTAACATCTACCATAAAAATTTGTCGCCTGATTCCATTTGACGGAAAAAGTCAACTTCATTTACGATTTATAATTTTTTACTTCATCTCGCATGTCGGCTATAATATTAAAAAGCCAGATACTTAACAAATCAACTCAGTTTTCTTCTTGTCTGATCAGAAAAAGAAGATTGAAAATGACTCTCCTCGCAGAAATCACAATGTCAATTGAAAATTAAATACAGTGCTTTCAAAATTAATAATTAATCGCATTGGTCAGTTATCATTATTTAATTTTAAGGCTGATGACCTGTGGAGACAACAAAATTTACTCATTTCCAATGGAAATAATTTGGTTCTTATTTTATACGAACTTGGCCATGCTTGCGCCCAGCTTATTCGCACCGAAACTTTTGACGTGCTAGTTTATAACGAAGACAACTCTTTTCTCATCAAACGAACTGCAAGCGACGTTCAGCTGCGGAAGCTTGCCAAGCACAAGCGTACACCTGTTTATATAAAAAGGATTCAAGACTATTCAGGGGTCATTTTAGGTTAGATTTAAATTGAAAGGTGCTTTTAATAACCTTAATTGTTGACTAATCTTTCTACAAATTTGCCTTGAAGTAAGCTTTCATTTCGTTTTTTTACAATTTATATTAATTCAGTATGCAAATTTTGTCCTCAATCAACAAGGTTTTTATCATCAACTTTGGCAAGATTTTTAATACTAATTTTCAATACTTTATATTTTATGTTATGCACTAACTTATTCCTCTGAAGCAAGTTATTTACTTCTCGTGATTAATTTAGGAATGAAACAAAATAATGGAGTAAGCCGTTTCGGCTTATAATTTGTAGCTCGTACTAACTGATTATCTAACTACAAAATTTTATCAAATTCATTCTCTCTCCTTATCAAATATGTTCATGTAGTGTATCTTCTGAAATATGCAAGTTTTTAAAAGTTTTCAAATTTTAAAATTTGTAGTTTTAGAAAGTTAATTTTCATTTTTAATTTTATGGATAAAGTAAGTACTGACTTTCGAAGTGCGAAAAAATTAAATCATATTCTTTGAACATGAAAATATCTGCTACTATATATAGAGAGAGAGTGGCAGATATTTCTATATATATATATGAATCGCTGACAAGCAATAAAAACTAGTGAATTTAAGTGCAAATAATATTTGTTTATTTTTAGTTAATCGTTTAATTAATCTTCTGCTTCCATGCACTTATGATAAGAACAGTAGTAGCCAACATTGACTGCAGCCTTTTAACTCGCTGAAGGCTTCACATTAAATGTGCAAAATGGACTGCAAAGTATTACTCTCTGAAATGAAAATTGTGGAACTGAAGTCAATATTCAGTCTTTAGAGCATCCATAGATTGTAACTGAGCCTAACTTCTGTTGAGGTGAAATACATTTCTACCGTTTCGTCAGTGACGGCGACCGAACATCTATAAACATACTCTGCACTTGGGGGACAGCTCTTATTCATTATGCACAGGTGAATAAATTGCTTATTCATGCAAAGTATATCTTTTATACTGAGTATAGCTAGCATGATAAGTAATTACTGAACCGCAAGAATTAAAATAGAATAATTATGCAATATTGAAACTAAATAATAAATAATTGTTGTTCAAAAAAATAATTTTTTATCACATCTAATTTGATTCCAGAAAATTCCTTCATCGAAAAATTACATTTTTTTGAAAATTTTTGCGCAAGTTAATTTATTCGCTTACTTTCTTAACTGATCAGTTTTGTTGAAGAAGTAGTAAGAAATAATACGGAACTCCCAACGTAAAAAAAATTTTTTAAATTTTTAGTTCACATTTCACATTGTCATCAACTCATATTCTTTTTAACACCAAATAATTTCAGCTTTCATCGTTTAGCGATGAGAAAAGTAGCCTGAACGGTTCTTCTGAGGACAGTAAATTGACTGCTTTTCTTCTAGATGTAGTAAAGTAAGCATATTATAATAATAATTTAGAACAGATATAACTACTTCTGTAACCAGATCTATATTTCAGGATATCGTTAGCATGGATACGGTTATCACGAAAGTAATGGTTAGTCATTTCGAGTATACTTGTGCTTGACTTTATTGTAGACAGATGTAGAAATTACATTTTTATTCCTTTTTATGATTAATTGGCTCTGATAAGACAACAAATGAGAAGAAATTATTAAGTTTGAAGTAAAATTCAAATATTTGTGAAAATTTGGAAGAATTTTCTGTTTCAATTTATATATATGTGCACAGAATTTTGCTCAAAAACTAACAAACGCTGATCGGTCTTCACTGTTTCTTGTTGATCACAAGACAAATGAATTGTACGCCAGGATATTTGATGTTGGTACACATCACGATGACGGTGTTGAAATTAATGAAAATTCAAATAAAGAAATTAGGTAACAATATTACTCATTCAAAACTTGAATGAGTTATGCAAAATATAATTCTAATTTTTGTATGCAAAAAAAGTTAAACGAAATGGTTGCGAATTTTGCTAAAAATTGATTAATATATTATTTTTTGAAACAAAACAAATTATTCTACCTCTAATTAAGTTAAATAAATTTTCAGAAATTGGAACGTTTGAAAGTACAATAATTACTTAATAACTGCACCATTTTGTTCCTTTCTTGGAAAATTTGTCTCATTTCATGCAAATTTTTATAGTGTCTTCACATTCAAGGTATTTTTTCAGATTTCCAGCTAATAAAGGCATTGGTGGATATGTTGCTACAACGGGACAAGTACTGAACATTGAGAATGCTTATGAAGATCCGCGATTCAACAAAGAGGTTGATCAGAAAACGGGTTATCGAACAAGAAACATACTTTGCATGCCAATTTTCATTCGTAAATCGTATGCATTATCATCACTGATACTATTTACTTAGCAGTATAACCCAATAATGTAGCAGACTTACCTATTTTATCAATCATTTGATTTTCTACTTGCTTTCTTATCAGTTGCATCATTCACCGATGCTTCAAACTAGCCTATCTCACTTCTTACTACACCAATTTCCTCCATAAAACAAACTCATCTACCATTTGCTTCACTTTTACAATTCCAAATGCTCATTACTGTTTTTGTGATAATCATAGTGTAATCGGTGTAGTACAAATGATCAACAAAGCAAACGGGTCATTCACAAAACAAGATCAGAATTCATTCGAAACTTTTGCTGTCTATTGTGGTTTAGCACTGCATAACGCTAAACTTTATGAGCGCATTAAACGTTCCGAGCAGGTCATTGATGATATGCATAAGTTTAAATTTATTTCTAACTAGCCCTATTTCATTTTTAAGTAATTTCAACTCCATCTACTCAGAATGCGTTAGCAAAAGTTATTTTTAAATAGTTAATGAGCAGATGTTTAAAAAAAACTTCACTGATATTAATTTCCAATTTTAACAAAATATTAAAAATACATTTGACGTAATTAAAATAGATTATTGAATTTTTTTTCAAGTAAGCTATAATTTCTGCTTTCAATTTTATTCTTTTGCAAACAATTGTTAAACTTTGACATGAGAAAATTTCTAGTCAGTGGAATCCTATAAAATTTAAGGTACTTTACAGCTAATCTATTTTATTTATTTAATAAGATGAAATTAAGAATCTAAATATATTTCAATAATTGAATTGATCATTTGCTTCTTTGATAAATGTGATAATAATTGTACAGAAATATCGAGTAGCTTTGGAAGTTTTGGCTTATCACAGTGCTTGTAATAAGGATGAGGTGAAGAAGTTGAAAAGTGTTCAAGTTGAAGGTGAAATTGCAGAATTAGACAGGCAAATTACCAATTTTATACTTCATGTAAATTATATGCCTTAACAATAATAATTTTGAATTCTTGCCTTATGAGATCAAATTTTTTGAATAATAGTGATGGTCTGGTCAATTTTTCGCGCTCACTGGTTTTTAAAGAGAAATATGCAAATCTGCCTATTTTTGTTTTTTTTAAGCGCTTTTTTTCAACTAAAATAAATTTGTAAAATTAAAGTTGCTATGGCTAAATGTCTATGGGTGAAAAATGATTAAAATTATGCTTTGCATAGTTTTAACTAATTACAATCTTCATTTCATCTCATTATGAAGATTTATTCCAGCTTTGCATTCAACATGCTTCAATTAACAGAGCTTGAGAAGCCACTTTATGCTGCATATATGTTTCAAACGTTGTTCAGAGGAAAAATGTAAGCATTTTAATTTTATGCCTTTCAAATTTTAATTATCATTTCGCAAATATTGTATCATATGTGATATTTTCAAGTGAATGTAAACAGAGAGTGGGAAAAAATAATATAACAGGTTGTACTAAAAATAATTGTATTAGTCTCTTAGAGGCATTCAAAATCTGCATCAAGACTGCAATAAAAGTTTCCAGCGACACTCAGTAATTATCATAAAAATATTAGCAAACTTTACAGTAATTACTAGATATAAAAAAATTAAATCCAAAGTAAATTGTGCACTGCAGTAATTACGAAGAAGACGATTTGATACGATTCGTGCTTACAGTACGCAAGAATTATCGTCAAGTTGTTTACCATAATTGGACTCACGGATGGTCAGTAGCTCAGGCAATGTTTGCCTTACTTCGAGCCACAAGTATTTTCACTCTTGAAGAAGTAACTGCAATTTTTCAAATTGTGCTCCTTAATTTTAGTGATTATTTGTTGTGATTTGCAAAATAAATAAATTAATTTTTCCAAAATTTTTGCTCTTAAAATCGAAAATTATGCATTAACTACTTGATATAAAAAATTAAGTTCAATGCAAATTGCGCATTATTTTTCAAGTGCTGAGAATGTGAAAGCGATAATGAATTGAAAATAACGGAATTAATTAATCTCTGAAACAGTTGTAATGATTGAGTTCATTTCTAAATTGTAATGAGTAGTTCATCTCAGTGCTATGCTTCGTTAACAAATCATTATTTGAAAAAATTTGTAATCGAATTTGGAAAAAAGTTCGCAAATCTCAATAATGTCTACTATAGAAAACTTTTTCAATGAGTTGTAACTTAATTTTGTAATGTGTGAAGCTTCAAGATTTTCAATTGCTAAAAGAGTCTGAAGGAATCGAAAAATTTAACTTTCAGTATTAAAGTGTTGTCTAAAAAGCAGCACTTTATTGCATAAAGCAAGCTAAACAAATATTGAATTCATATTAACAAAGTAAATTAATAAATATTACATAACTTTGACTATATTATTTTTAAAAAATTTTTAAAGCTTCAAAAAAGAAGGATACAGTGATTTGCAAAGACTTCTCACAAGTTTTAATTACTCATTACAAAGGAAAACAGCATTTGACAATATTTTATTTTTAGACATAATTGTTATTTTAATACCTGAAAGATGTTGTATATTCGCCTTTAAGTAAGCATTATTATAAAGTATAATCCATAATTGCTATGCAATTATTAGATATTTAAATTCATTTTTTTCAGAAATGTTAAAAAGGAAGTAGTTTAAGATATTTGGTAGAAACTCTCAGCTTGATGATCAATTATATTGCATATAGTTTACTAATTGAATGATTAATTCCTCTTACAGTCTCTAGCACTGTACGTGGCTGCTCTATGTCATGATCTTGATCATCGAGGAAAAAATAATGCATATATGAAATCAATGAGCACACCTTTGGCAGCAATCTATTCTACTTCTGTTATGGAACATCACCATTTTAATCAAACTGTAATCATATTACAACAGGTTGATTAACTATCCTCTACCCATTTGTATAATATATAATAAATTACATTTGTATCAAATGTAAAATTTAGTAGTGTAATGTGTTAATTTCAGAATGGACACAATATTTTCAAGTCATTTTCTTCGGATGAGTACAAAAAAATTTTGGGTACTATTAAGCATCTTATATTAGCCACTGATTTAGCTGTATTTCTCAGTAATAAATTGAAAATGGAAGAAATTATTTCATATGGCACATTTAATTGGGATGATAATGACCATCGGTAAGTAATTAATCCCATGTGGCTATTCCTAGAGTAGTTATCAATTATCAGTGAAAAGGATTTACGTCAATGATTATAATTGACGTCATTGATCATTTATTTACGTCAATGATTATAAATGACGTCATTGATTATTTATTTACGTCAATGATTATAATTTCTTTTCATTAACATGCAAAGTGAGCTTTGCTTTTTAGTTCAGTTATCATCAATATTGTTGCACTATTAACTATTTTTTTGAGTTAGTTTACTAGTCACAGTTTATTTATAGAATATTAGAAAGAATAATGAACAACTGTAATGAGAATAATGCATTGGAAACAGTGATAAAAACAATATTACGGTACTCACAGTGATAAAAGCAATATTAGCAATACGAAAAGCAGTAAAAACAATACTTGACCAGAAAATTTACATCCGGAGAGATACAATTATCTGTGTGAAGTAATTATCTAAAATAAATAGTGGTAGAATTTATTTTAAATTCAGTAAAAGAGCTGTCTTGACAAAATTGAATGATTTGACTGATGTAATCATACAGATATTTTAAACAAAGTTTTTCGTCATCTAATTTTAACGACATATTTTAAAAATAATATAAATAATGTATGCAAGAATCCAATTTTTAGGCTGTTAATAGAAGCAATACTAATGACTGGTTGTGATCTGATCGCAGCTGCGAAACCCTGGCCTGTGCAAACAGAAACTGTGAAAATTATATTTGAAGAGTTTTACGAACAGGTAGTCGTAGTCATACTTCTCTTATATCATACGAAATATAAAACAGCCAATTTTATTTGAAAAACCCTTGAGATTTATATCCTCAATAAATTAGAAAAGTTTTTTCACTGTAAGCTTTGATCTTTAGAATTTTCTAAAATTGTACGTGAAAAATGTTGGAAAAAGGCAGAAATAAAGTTTGGAAACTGAACAAAGTACATCAATTACGAATCTGAATTCTTAAAAACGAATCTGAATTCTTACAAATGAATCTGAATTCCGCAATTGATTAACAAAAATAACATGCATTCATCAGGGAGATGCTGAACGTAGAAACGGACAGAAACCAATCGCGATGATGGATCGCAGGAAAGCGAACGAAATGCCTCAGATGCAAGTTTCGTTCATGCAAGATATTTGTACTCCTTGCTATGAACTGATTGCTTCAATCATTCCCGAATGTCAGCCATTGCTTGACCGTTGTTTGTAAGCTTTAAATCTACATATGAAAACGAAAATTCTCCGAGGAATCAGTAGCTTAAATCCGATCATTGGCTTAAATAATAAATTTTTAGAAGTAACACGAAAAAATGGCAAGAATTAGCAGCAGAGCAGAAAGAAACTACAGAATTTCCCGAAGAAGAGGATTGATTTATCTACTGGTTAATTGAAACCAAAACAAAAGAGATTCCCAGCTGATATTTCCAACTTCTCATGAATGAATTATTACATTCTAAAATATTTAAATTCATTATTTTTTTTGTCTTTCAATTAGAAAAAAGCGATATTTCATTCAAGCGTGACATATTTATTCAAGTAACCCAAATGTCATCGAATCAGATGCAAACACACTCCAAAATTATACGTGCACTCTCTTCTGTAATGCGCAAATGACACTTTTTTATATCTTGAGATGAATAATTTATTATGAAAAGTTTTGAAATAGATCACAATCAGTTATGAACATGCCCAATTTTCGGAATATAATAACTGTCAAAAAATAACAGAAACAACGACAGTAGTACTAATAATGATAATAACACTAGTCACAATGACATAATAATAATATTGTTATAATATATATTATATAATATATTAATAATATAATATAATATAATATAATATAATA